CATAGTATTCGTTAGATTTATGGGGCGGTCGACCGCCTGGAGCTAATAATAATTAGGACAGGTAACGAGGGAAACTCAGTTGCGCACGCATGCGCGGCCGTCCACGTTAATGAGTGGGGCGAGGGGCGAAGGAAAGTTAGAGCACGCTTTTAACCAGCTGACAACAAACCAAACGTATTTAACTGAGGGAAAGGCTACTCTCCAACACTTCCTCTGGGCAGGTTTAACGCAGTCAAATCTCCTCTCTTTCAAGATGAGCTCATGGCTGCCTTCATTATTGAAGGCCATGAAGTTTGTAGGTTGAATTACTGGCCCTGAACCACATTTATCTCTAAAAATAGCTCAGGAGAACAGCAGCTTATTTGAAGAAATTGCGTGGAAATTTTTTTTTGGAAGTGTTCACTCAATTGGTTCTTGTGACCATGCTGTGGTACTTGTGACCGCCAAACTACATACCCTTTGAATGAGAATTGAACAAGCATTCATTTCGGTGCTCTTTTTTATTGTCACAGCTCAATTGTCTACCAAGCTAATGCAAGTCGAAAATCAGTTCACTTTTTTTGTCCACCCTTCTGTATATGTCGCATTTGCCCTAGTTCTACAATTCCTCAATTTAAAACTGCATTCATCATTCAAAGCACTGCAAATCAGAAGACAATTTGATGACATAAATAACCTTCCCGAGCCCCGACAGAACCTTCAAACACAGTATTGTAATACTGTACTGCACTTCATATCAATCTGCAATTCTATAGAACTACCAAACGATATCGCTCGTGAAGTTTCAGAACTAAAATTGCACAAGGAATCCTCGTGAATAGCCAAGGATACTGATCTGATCTGCGTCCGGTTTTGATAAAGATTATAAGAAGTTATCAACATCCAGGGCCGGCCTTACCCGATGTGCAGATTTTTCACTGCAGGAAGGCGCCTATAGGTAGGGGGCGACCAAATGGGACTTCCACCGTTGAAATTTGCACCTTGGCTGGTGCCGATGTTGGTAAAAAACCACACAGCCTGAGTGTGGCGTCTATACAGCTGGGCTTGAAGTTATCTTAGGCAGTGCCCCTGCTATGTAGACTTATGTGGAAGATTGGTGGGTTTGGCTGAGAACCACTGTAAATAGTAGACGTCCTTTGATGAGTATATTCAATGGCAGTGGCCCAAGTTATGGACGAAAGAAGCAGAAAGAAACTGGAGACTGAAGAATTTATGCTGTTATCTACAAAATAATAACTTGATTTGCTTGTATTGGAAGACATGATGCTCAATTTGTCAAGGCATACATTGTATACTGCATTTCAAATTTTAATGCACATTTAAACTGAGTGGAAAAACACTTCATTTCTTTTTAATTTTGTAACATAGCTACATGGAATACCAGCATTATCATATAGTTTACAATGCAAGAGTGATTTACAGAATTTTGACAGTTTATATTGGTGCTCAAAAACACCTTGATTGTGTCCTGAAATATTATTTATGCTAACACTATTTACCTCAAATAAATGACAAGTAACAGAGAGAAACATATCTAAATGAAGAAGTATTTAATGTACCACATGACTATTTGAGTGCAATCAAATATTGAAAAAACGTGGATTAGGAAGTCAGAAGAGAAAATTGGTGCTGGTGGACATAAATCCCAGCTTGTTGTTCAAACCCTTTTTTGTTAAAAAATTACATCTTTCTTGAAAAACAAAAAATGATTAAATTGAAAAGCACTTGCAATGCAATTCGAAAAAAATAGGCTCATCTTCAAACGTACTGCGTGCTGTGCATAAGTAAAAAAGGAAGAACTACAAGACAACGTTTGCAGCCCAAATAAAATATTGTTACAACAAACTTCCAGGGGTTCAACAGTAATTTTCAACAGTGAGAACACTGGACTATACTGTACAAGTTTTCTATAATTACTGAGTTCATGTTGCGTTTTATACTCATTTATATTTCCTATTGTTTAGCAAGGAAATAATATTTTGTAAAATAGGAACTTTTCAATCGTTTTAAATTATCATACAGCAAGCATTCCTTTTCGTAAGGGGCGCCAAATTTGTTCATGCACGAAGGTGCCACTTATACTAGGGCCGCCCCTGTAATCATCGAAGAATGAAGTACGCTTCCCTAAGTTTCGTTCAAATGTGATTAGATTCATGAAAGAACGAATCGTTTCTTTTGCTCTTCCTTTTACTCGCACGTTCACGTAAGAAGACCATAAAAACCTCAGTGACGTCAGAAGATAAATCAGGATCTGGACATTCTTCAGAAAGAAAAGTTGAGCGATGGAATCGATAGTTCGTGCAGATAAATTATCGCAGTTCCACTTGAAAGAATGAATGATTTCATTGAAACGTAACTCCACAGAACACAAAAGAAACTAAATTCACGAATTCAGATTGAAGAGCACTCCGGCTTCGAACACGCGAAGTCAGTCACCGAACCTGAGACCATTTCCTCAAGCTCGAAAATATGTACTCGATAAACACCAAAGCAAACAAAAGATCATCCAGGGCTCGTGAGATTCCTAAATAACTCCATCGTCAATCATTTCCTGAACAATATCCGCGAACCTTTCCAAAATTTTATGACTGGATTCGCCAGCCATCACTCCTTCAGTCATGCTTTGAAAATCCTCTATTGCGAGGTCATTCTCCTGATAGTCGGGAATATCGTCTTTCCGCGCCATGATAATCGGCAACACGAACATTCCTGTGAGCAAAGTGAATTCTTTACCAGCCTGAAATTCCTTCCAGAAGTCGTCGAAAGTGTAGTCGGTCGGCTTCAGCGGCGCTTTCAACTCCGAAAGAACTTGAAACAGAACGGGATAGTATTCTTCTTTCAGAAGTGTTTTCGTTTTCCTCCGAAGCTCAATGTTGGTGCTCGATCCGAAAAAATAGTGAAGATCGGGAAACAGCGAACCCGCTTGAACCAGTTGGAAGTCGAGCTGTCTTATCCCTCGCACACGTTTGTTTCCTTTTTCATCGTCTCCGTCTCTGCGTAAGAAACACGGTATATGTTACTTGTACCTCGACACAGTTATTTTGAGCAAAAAATAAATAAATAAATGAATACGTCAGAATAACGTATTCTCACGATTACCAAGATGCACTTTTCTCTAATTTCGACACACAACATCAGTTAGATCTTAAAATGCTTCATTTGATGAACAAATCAAGGCACAAAATTTGACGGAGCGTTTGGCAACTTTCAAGAATAGTTTGCGTGGGCACTTCCCTTGCGAAGTTCGATTAGTTCATTCAAATCGAATGCACATTACGAGTGTTTTTTTTTGTTTTTTGTTTTCTATGGAATCGATAATAATTGTAGATACGGAAGCAACAGTTGGACCCTTTGATCGACTGACCGAAACATCATGTTATTGACCCAACAATCACCGAGCTGGTATGTGTTTAGGGCAGGGTTCCCTTTAAACTGACGCATCAGCAAGAGTCGCTCAGCTCCGTCAACACACGTATTGTCCAAGTACTTTTTCAGTCGATCCGCCTTTGCTTCGTGGCCAGGGATTTTTCGCAGCGAATTCTCCATGTGACGAAAGACCAAGTTGCCCTTCATGAAATCCCTCATGACGTTAGAATCGAACGGAGGTTTCAGGATATCTGGATATTTGGCGCTAGAATTGTAATCTGAACCGAGTTTCCGAGCGATTTCAATCCCGTTAGCGTGAAACTTCGCGAGAGATCGCAGCGCGATCCTGGCTTCGTCCTCCGTAACTCCGTTTTGTCTGAAATTCAACATGAAGGCTTCGCGTCCTCGTCCAATTTAGCCGATGAAAAGAGTCTCAATTACCTGTCCCCCACACGATATCCGAGCAGGCTTAAGTCCAGCATGACGATGGTCGCATCTGGACCGTCTTTCTGCGAGAAGACACAAATCGGGGCATCAGGATAACACCATTTCGGAGCGCCGACGTCGTCAACATTCTTCCGCATGTCGGGGAGCAACTCTTGATAGAATGCGGCTTCTCTAACGAACGCACCGAATTCTTCCATGGCAGCCTTATGTTGTTCACCTGCAGGGATGTCTTAAATTCTGTCAGCCCACTCGAGTGGAGAATTCGGAAAACCATCAACGTATATATTCACCGAATGGGAGAGTTTTGATGAAAAGATCGAGTCGGCGTTCTTCTTGCCCTTCATTTTGCACTTGATACACGACAGCGCATCTGTAGGTCAGGCTTGCGTAGTTTTCACCCTTGGACAGCCCTTTAGAGACTACGTAGTGACAGACATTGACCTCACCCTCGTGTAATTTACTGTGATTGATCACTTTCTTCAACCATAGCTTGTCAATAATCGCCATTGTGTTTTTGAACCACGTTATTCTACGTTCGGAAGTCTTCTGAACCAAATCATGCGACAGAAGCTGTCGAAACCCAAGGGATTGTTTATCAGTCTGGGTGACATGCGTTCGAGCCGCGTTGACTTCTGTCGAATCATGTTCAACTTATCTGCTGTCAATCTAACTTTGCCTCGAGATAAGATGCACGATCTGACTGGAATGCACATGCTGCAGACAGGAAACCCGGGGCAATGATAACGTTCAGACTTCAAGAAGCTGACATTTGCCTTCGATGAGTTTAAAATATTCGTCCGTCACAGCCAAAAAGTAGATGCGTGCACCACGAAGTGATCGTATGAAAACGCAGCCAAGCAGTAATTCCTTTCTGGATTTCATCGCAAAATGACCCACACCTCTGTCTACGAGGGAAAATCTCATACGAACATAATTTACAAGACATTTCGATATAATTTACAACGAACTTTGTTCTATACTGTACTTCAGAATAAAACGAATATTTTTCTACCGTGCAACAAATTAGTATATCTTGTTTCAAACTCGGAGCATAATCAACCAATCAAAATCGTGTTTTCCACATCATTCACGAACATCACGAAAAAGTTTCTTTTTCTGTTTAGAACACCAGAATGAAAAAAGCGCGCGCAAATGCGACTCGTACATATATCTTTAATACAGGTAATGGAAATGCGAAGTTTCGGTGAAGAGCCAAGAAAATGGATCGGGAAGAATCCAGACGAAAACAGCAAAAAAAAGCGAGAAGTGAGTCGGCACATGATCTCTTGAATTCGAAGCTGACAACAAATACAACACCCAGGACGCCAGCACCCATGTAGAAAAAAAAGCAAACAATAAAGCAGACGGATGCTATAAACCAGAGGCTTCATTCGGATTCTGTATCACGATCAACATGTACTCCTTGTCGGGGGCCACCATGATCTCGTGCTTCTTGGATCGTATTCTGAAAAATGTTAGCTCGTTCGTGGGATCCAAGTCGCGGACCGTGCTTCGGGTTTTGTCGGTCAGTTGGCCGATCAGCGCCGCGTACTGCACCGTCTGCGCGTTGTCCATCGTGGTCTTGATCGGGATTCCCTCCGAATTAATGATTATCACTCCCAGCACGCCCTTGTGCGACTGAATTCGCTTGAGCGTTTCCTCGACATCGGATGCCATTTATTCCTCAAGAATTAACCGTCTGCAACAGAGAAGAAAAAAGAAACTGACTCATAGACGAATACTTGCTTTTTTGAAGTCCGCACAAGCTGGAATGCCAAGGGGGACATAACCGAAGTGCTCTAGCACAACAATTTTCAAATTTTAGTTGGTAACTCATCTTTATAGCCAATTGAACAGTACTCAAGATACGGCAGCTTTTATTTTTCGAACGAACTTGCAAAATTTCGCTGGAATATGTGGACTCTTTCCACCCCTGGTCTTATGCGAGTGAGATTATTTCAAGGAAGTCAGACCAATCACGATTTAATCACATTCCATGAAGCGCAAGATTGCAAAAAAAGCCAACCAAGCCACTAAAGAACTTATTTTGATTGCTTTCATTTCAATGCCCAACTTACCGCAATGTTGCCTGAATCAGTAAGCTGATCAAAATGATCAATTCGAAACTAAACTGGCATCGCACCTGAGCACCTCAAGTGGAAAAAAAAAAAAAAAAAAAAAACCTACAATCTGGCGATATTTGTGCATAACAAAAATCTTGCACTAGGCGAAGTTGGGCTTCGAAGTGATATATAAAAAAATGCTGATTACCACATGAAGCCCGTAAAGCTATCACGATGTCTGCGTTCCTCTTCAAATGCATCTTCACAGTTTATTCAGCACTTTTTTCATTATTTACGTCCATATCCATCTCACAATAGAAACTGAAATGACGAATGAACTAACCTGGACAAGCTCCATGAAACCAATTTTGCTCTAATTTTTACACCTCTAATCTGAACACATGAGGGGCCTTCGTTCGTAAATTCCGTTCGACAAGAGGCTAAATTTTCGATTCAAAGGAAATGGATCGCATTTCAACTCAGTCGGACTCCAGGTTGAAATCAAGAAAGATTCGAAAACGTCAGAACAACAACAACCAATTTTTCATTCCATAATTTAAAAAATGAGACCAATCAATCATTGCGGATCTGATGACCGAGACGGATTCTGATCACGACGGGCCCAGTCTTGCAGGGAACCAACAGTAGTTGCTCGGGCAAGTTGGCTCAACGAATGGCTGGCCAACGTTGAACTAACTCCATATGTCAGGCCAACCCCGGAATGCACGTTGGACTGCAGTAAGCCGGAACCCGGGGGAGTGGAACCTGACAGTGGTTGAGATGCCGACGAGCTGGACGTCGGGGTCGACTTTCTAGGACGCCGTTTCGGCTCGGGCTTCTTCTTTTCCTTGGGAACGGAGGGTTTCCGCGGGGCACTCTTCGCCTTCGGCTTCGACGCCGTCACCAGTGGAGGCATCACCCGAGGCTCTTTCTCATCCTCCACCACAGGTTTCTTCCTGAGCCATTTCACGACGAGAAAATGAAATTTAACGAATCAAAAGTCTCGTAATGACATCAAGTAAATTGATTCGAACAAATTCTTGAAAGGTTTTATCAAAAACTCTGACGCGTCCAAAATTTTACCTTTTATTGCTGATGACAGGTTCAGGAACATCTTCATCTGTCGAGTCAGTTTCCTCACCAGAGGAGGATGCTGCATCTGACATTGGTTGCTCGAAATGAAGAAGACGGTCCATGAGAAACTTCTGATCCCTCGACAGTTTCAGCAATTTATGTTGCGCCTTGAGCAGTTGGTCCTTGAATGATTCGTTCTCCTGGTAAGAGAAAATGTATTCGAAAATATTAGTCGTCAACGTAAGTTTTAACAAATACAAAACGAAAACCCAGTGCATTTCGGAGAAGTATCCACTCCCCCGATCACGAACGAATTCTTCTTCTCCGTTACTAAAAGGGAATTATTGCAACAAATATTTACCAAGCTTAATTTCGTTCTAGATAACCGGTGACACACGCGCGTCAAATTTACCAGAGGTATTCATAATTATACACGTTTCTGGGCGCACCAACCCATCTCAAATTCAGGAGTCATTTTTGGATTCAATTTCTACGCATACGCTTAGGTATTACAACGCGAACAACGATTCCAGATTCGATCATCGCCAACATAAAGGCTTGAAAAAATTCAGACAAGCAAAAGCGACGACTCACGTATATCAGGGACTTGAACTGCTTCTTCCTTTCTTTGTACTTCTTATGATAATCTACGACTCCGTTTTCCATTTTTTCCACGGAGAAGTCTGGAAAGATAATACATGTAGACCGCTAGTGAGATACAATACAGGAACATCAATCGAAATGAACGAATATTCGTCATTCTGCTGCTTCCATCAACCGTAACTTTCATGATCAAAACTGCACAACAATCTGAGCACGCTTGTTCAGTCTTTCCTCCGCAAAACCGCTGGAAAAATAGTCCGAATGAGAAAAAAAAAATCATCAGGCAAGATCCCGGCTTGAGATGAATGAAAGAAGCTCGCTGAATTCCGGATTGACCGAAACGGGAAACGCACAATCGTAGTTTCAGTGGACGGGTAGTGAAGAGACTTTCCTTTTGATGTTCATGAAAAGCAAGCGCGAACTACGGAGACACTTCAATCCACTCAATCTACTTTCGAATGCCTTCCTCATCGCCTACCTGTTTCACACATTTGAGTTCAGCCATTAGTAGCATGAATGCACATTGAGAAGAAATTTTGGGCTTCGAAAGAAGGACCAAACCGAATACACTGTTCCCGTTTTTGGAGCCCACACACTGCGTCAAAGCTTTAAATTATGCAGGTACTTGAGTTTCCTCGAGAAGATTCGCATGACCTCAGACAAAGACGCATCCTGATTTCGGAGAAGCACACTCAACACCGTTCCTCTCCGTGGATCTTCCATGAAGTCATCGCAGGAATCATGCAGCTTCATTTGAAACTCAAGTCGGGCAGCCGTAGAATCCGCATTGAACTGACTCAGCATATTGATCAAGCTCTCTAAAATGCTCTCAAGCTGATCGACGAACGTTTCCATGACAAGTAAGAACCTCTGGAAAATATGCACAAGAAAATGTACGGCATTTAATACTGTACCGACCTCCCTTCTTTCACAGTACTGTACAGCACGATATTCGAGAAATTGAGGACTGAAATACACTCCATGTGATTCGGAAGAGGAAAAATCAACTATTATTATTTATTTTTGATGATGAAGACCTTTTAAACCCTGAATTGTGAACAAAATGTCACAAACCTAAAGGAAAGCGACGAAATCTCAAATTCGCTCGAAAAGTACTCAAAAATGTCCACTGAAACGAAGACGGTCGTCGAAGAGCATTCTCGACATTTAAATTGTGAAAAAAGGACACAATTTTACGTCATTCAACATCATTGTTCCCAAAAATCATGGAATTACATTTTCATCGAAGTCTGTCTTATTGCTTGAGCTAAAATTTCGAACAGAAGATTTTCAAAGCAGGGACAAATTCAATCACACGGGAGCGGGCTACATCGCAACAAGAACTGCTTTTCAGGGATTCTTTCCTTGTCAACTTCTCGGATGCCAGTCATGGCATCATAACATAATACTAATCAATTACGTTTTGCTTGGTGTCCACATCCGTAGCGTGATCTTTCTTCTTTTTACTCGACTTTTTAGCACCACTCAGTGGATGAGGCTTCAACTTGAGTATCACGAGTCCCGTCAACGCAACGATGAAAGATATTGTCTGAAAGAAACAGGAAAGAAAAATCAGCATGCTTCAAGAGACGGAATTTAGAAATTCGAACCTCAGCCAAAGCAGTAAGTCGTTCGATAACGCGTGCCAAATCGTTGAACAGTAACTGCGTTGCCTCGGATTTCAGCATCATCTGAACACTATGAACACAATGCACCAGGCATTCATGGAGGGCGTTGAACGAGGAACTGTCAATATTATTGGTCTTGGGAGACCATTCAGCAGCTACACTTGCAGATTCCACCGCTAATCTCACACAACCGAGGAGATCGACGTCTCCTAAAAATGCCTTCAATCGTGGCCTCGCAGGTAAGTTCATCTTGAAAGAATACTCGTCATCCTTTGAACTCGTTGGTACTTCCAACGTACCTTCCTCTTTTCCGTTCATTTCTCCATTGGTTTCCTTCAATAAACCGATCATGCATAATTTCTTTCAAAACTTTCCAATAAATTCGATCATCGTCACGAAAACTCGTAGTTGACTTTAACGCTGTTAAAAACCCCGTTCCGATCATTTGCACGGATTGGAAGAGGCATCAACTCACCCCTGCTAAAGACGAAATCAACTGCCTCAGTTCTTCCGCCAGACTTCGCAAACTGGAACCGGGGCTGACATCGTCACCAATCGGTAAAATATGGCAACCAGAGCAGATACTGAGAGCTTTGAACATCACGTCTCTCATCCGCATGAAAGCGATATCCCACACTCTAGAATCTTCTATATTCGCTGCTGATAAATCCCTAAACATCAAGACGATTTGCAGTCTTCGTTGATGAGAACGATCCCGCATACATGCATACGTACCGGCCTTCGGGCTGAATACAAACGGTGACTCTAAAATCTCGGTTATCCCTTAAGCTGTCAACGTTACAATGGTATCTTTCGAAGAGAGACTTGGCAGAAGACAAGGCATCTTCAGTTTGTGACTGACTGCTCGGCAAGATGAGAACTTCTTCAACGACTTTCTCGCGCAGAACATAGGCGCACATCTGCGAGCTTCTGATCCGATCGCGAAAATCTATGAATTCCTTGACTTTGTGAAATGTTCCGTACTTGTATGCCGTGATTAAGCTCTCCATCGTCTGAAAAGAAAATTGCGAATCATCATACTATGACGATCACTTAAGTTACCGATAGTAATTGCCCCAGTTTCATTAGCAAAAGTGAGCTAAGGCAGCGACAATTTTGAGATTTTAAAATTCGGCGGAAGTTCCGGAAGGTTTTAGGTTTGAATTCAGCTAAAAATAGACAACAAGAGTATGCCTTACATCGTTTTGTCCCGAGGCATAAAATGCCAGCATGGCCCGAAAATGCGACGCACTTCCAGAGAAAGCAAACGGAAGCATGAAGGGAGCAAACATGTGTCCAAGCGTGTCTATAATGATATGCTTGATATCCATGGCAGCTTGTAACGCTGGCAACTGTTTAACTCCTCCGAGGAAGCTGTACAGCAGGACGAGTTGCAACTTGAACTGATGATTCGCTGGAGAAACTTCCATCGCTTCTTCCGCAATACAAATAGCTTTCACAAGATAATTTCGTTCAGCTCGCCAACACGATTCCACGCTCTCCCTTGACTTGACCGTGAATCACACCTCATTAATTATTCTACCTCGGGTGAACATTAATAAGACAATGCTAACCTGTACCACTCTTCTCCACAAGTCAATACAACCAAAGACAGCCAAAAGCGCCAGATAATCAGTCGGACGATAATCTGTAGGGAGCAGCCCTACACATAAGTGCTCGGCGCTTTTCCAGTCACGAAGCCGTTCTTGAACATAATGCTTCACCTCAGGCACATCCAATTCTTCGACATGACCCAAACACCGTTCCGCTTGAAGATAGAATATTCTTCGATTCAGCGTATCAACCTGGAAAAAATCGTAAAATTTCGATGTCACAGAAGAAATTAACCTCGAAAAGCACTCACCGTGACATCCTTAGGCCAATTCATGTCCTTCCGAAAATCCTTGATTCGGGACAAGAACTCTTTCCTGGTTACAGTGGTCGTGAGCCAGGCAGCAAAATACGGCTTTAAATCTCCAAAACAGGCCTGCTTGCGAGAAAACTCGTAGGAATACTCGACCAAGAGATCAATGCATTTGGAAGATTTTTCGCCACGCTCTGATCGGATTCTCATCAGTTCCAGGCGAGCCAAAGAAGCACTACGAGTTTTTGACTTCATATGCACTTCACTGATGAAGCTCTCAATTTCATTCAAATCAACGTCATTTCCTTGGTCCAAAATTTTGAGCGCAGAGTTCATGTAACCCATCATATGCGACCATTCACCCGGACTGGAAGGGAATAAGGCTTGTAAAACAGCTATTTAGATATTGGAAAAATCACTCAACTCTTTTTCAATAAGATTTTTGTAAGATGCATGCAGTTCATTCCATTGGCCTAGTTTCCGCATGAGGTCCAGCCGTTTCTCTGAGAAAAGATCCGAATGCGACGCACTCCATGGAACCGGCAAAGCGGTCAATACCTTCAGGGCCTCTTCCCATTTCCCCTAAAAACGAAAAATTTAGCCCACAAGCGCTTAATAAATTCTTAGAATCAAATACCATAAGATCCAATATCATCAGGTACAAGTATGTTTCGGCGTCTGATTCAATCTTCCGTTCATTGACGAACTTTTGAACCATTCTCTCAGCAAGAGGCAAACAAATATTTTGCCTAGTTTTCTCATCTGCATCATGTGCCTGCATCACAACAGACATCACAGCCCAGAAGTAGTAAGGATTCTTCGGTTTGATTTTGTATAGATTCATAGCGGTGACATGTTGCTTCTTGTAGTTCCCAACCCGGACATATGCCATGAACAGATGTGACAGAAGTTCTTCCTTGCCAGGATTTTTCTTGAGAGCCATCTCGTACACTTCACAAACTTTGTCCTCTGGAAATGAAAATGTTCACGGTATTCACGTCTCCAACGGTAATTCCGGACGAACTTACGCTGATTTAATTCCTTGAAGCAAATGGATATTGCTTGTAGGGTCATTTCATCAGCAGGAACGTCTTCCAATACTACTTTCAAAATATCGTTACATTCCGCGACTTTCCCAAGCCGCAATAACGCAAGGCCACGAAGCACTTTAGCACAGCTACAATTCGGCTGCTTTTTGAGCACTTTCTCCGCCTCCTGAAGCGCCTTCTTGTAGTAGCCATTATCAAGACTCTCTGTGAGAAAATTATAAAATCCCTGTCAGCGTTCAGGAATTCCGCAGAAATGTTCGTTGAACAGCAGAAATCCTCACCATAAATTGGGCGGAGTCTTCTTTCCACTATGACACAATCCGCAGGCTGCATCCCCTAACCACTAAGTGAATGAAACCCAGGTTTCCGGTCAACTCTTCTCCGGATGCGAGTGAATGCACAGAACAACAGTACACCCTAAATAAGAGGATTTTCAAGTTGCTCAAATGCGGAACGCGAAGAGTCAGGCGCTATTGAACTTTAGCGATGTCCAAGAGTCACGCAAATATGTTCCACACGAGATAAGAAATCTACCGGTTGAAATTAATTCTTCATCACAGAAAATTATCAGTTGCACACACGAGCCACAAAAACGGGGTACACTTCGATACTGCCCCCCAACTTAACCGTACAGCGCACAGCCAGGCACGGCGAATGCCCGCAGTATCTAAGTCTCCCCAAAAAACGTCACTCTCGCATCCACGGTTTTCAGGAATTAACATCGGCGTTTCGGAACAATGGGTCCAATACGGTACTATCCAATAAAGATTAAACAACCTTGCTCTTCCAGTGTCCCTCGCGAAGGAGAGAACAACTAGCGCTATCTAGCGCGCTCAGCGATACATGCTGTATACAGTCGATAAACTACAGACTGCTCTAATCTTTAGGTAAAATCAATACTGTATAAATAAAGTAATTAAAAAGTAACCTTCCTTTCAAATAGATAGAAATGTAATCGTTTCTGTTAACATGGAGGATACCAACATTTTATAATAAATTTCCATTCACAAATTACATCTACTGATACTGTATACTCAATCCAAAAACTGATGAATGCATGTGACCAAGAGCCCGTCTAACCCATGTACAGTACAGTATTGCCTTCCGATCTTCGCCTGCATTTTTCAAATCCAGCTTTAAACCAGAGGGAGTTTGTAAGCTGAACTTCTTCAGTTCAGATTCCCTCTTTTTTCACCGTTGTGGGTTTTCTAATTAATTACAAAATTTTCTCTCAAAGAAACTACCGTCCCCCGACTAGTTTCTGTGAAACTCAAATGACGCATGTACATTACTTCTGTGCGTGACACAAATTGCAAGAAATGCAGGCATTAATTAAGAGCACAATAAAGCAGATTGGTCAGCAGTTTTAAAAGCACAGTATGAAAGCATAATGCGTCAGATGAGCCGCGAGAAACGAGGCAGTGATGCCGGCTTTCAATGACACTAGCACACTTTCCACACCCTAGGCACAAAGATTTATGCAACGGATTGGTTCATTATAGTGTGAACGCATTTATTTTGTCACGCATTACTCATCACTGTGTGCATCTCTGAACTTCACATTCGCCAGATGTGGAAAAAATACCATTCGCTTCCCAAAAATATACAGTAAATAGAAGGAAGTAAAAACACAACTCGCCTAGAACGACGTTGTAATCTCCTGAAGTTCAAGGTGCGCTTATGCATCTGGCAGTGTTCTCCAAATCAATCACATACTGAAGGTGAGGTAGAGTGGTAACCTAATAGTATTAGTTCAGTATTGTACCAACATCTGACACAAATATTTCGGAACTCAATCTTTCAGGCAGGGAACTGTTATAATAAATGTTCCATTGTCAAATGCAAGTCAGAGAAAAGACAGGGATTCACAGTTACAAAGCCAGTAGTAAGGACTTCTAACGTTCGTGGAATTGTCTTCAACGTGCTCCACACCCATCAGCGGAACACCCCGTGAGGTACGTTGAAATTACTGTCCCCTTGATTTTAACATCTTGGATAATCATCCGTCGTCAAAACTACGTCACCTTACTGATGAAGCGAAATCAGCTCGATTCATCTCCTATCGCGCACAATGACGTTTTATTCCACATTACCTTCTGACCCCGAAGAACCTATTTCACATAACATTCATTTCATTCATACGAAAAAATAAATACCGTACAAAAAAATCGTGCCTGCGCAGTAACCTGGATTCAGCCTGTTCGACGGCCAACTACAAATTCGAACAACGACCCGAAGATGATCGTTCATCACCGAACAGGATATAAGAAACACAGAATTCATTTATCTGTCCAAAAACAAAAGTCAACTTTCACTTCCGAAGAGAAAAATCCAAGAAATCAAGCATCCTTCACGCGAGCTCCAACGAAATTTTGTTCAAAAATAAAAATTACGGCGCGCACGAATTGCTTGCCAACGGAGAGAATTTGTAAATGAAAATGGACAGGTCTTCATCGCACACGCGTTCCTATAATATTTCGGACAATAGAGTCACGGGAAAAACGGACAACTTCACCCCCGAACAAGAAAAAAAGTGGTTCCAGCTTTTGTTTAACGTCGCTGAGCACCGCAGCGCTGCATGTTGTGCGCTACTGTGAGTAACGCATCGACATTACAACGTCGGAAGTAAGGTTTACGCAAACCTTCTTTGAGGTAAGCAAGAAAAACACTGATACTGTAGTTCTCAAATACCCGATACCATGGAAAAAAAATTCGGGTGCATCAGTCGGCGTCGTGCAAAACCAGCAGCTGATCCTTTGAACAATGCCAAGAGAAACTGCTTCTCTGATCGCAATCAAAGTTCAACTTTGCCTCAGGCTTAGCGGGAGTGTGAGCCTGGATACATTTTTCACCGCACTGTTCGAAACATCAGACAACCAGCGACGACCTGGGATAGGATAAGGGAAAACAAAAAGCCTTTCTTTCGAGAGTATCGTCCCCGTAACAGTCTATAGAGCAAATTCACTTCTGGCTGAATCGCTGCTTTTTGGGAACACGATTATGGGTCACCACATCGGACCATCGTCGTTTCCCGACATCGCTCTTAGCTCGCGTTGCAATGACGCGCGGGCGGGTTTCACTTCGCAGTACGCGCGTACTACGTTCCGCGTGAAGCTGCAACCGTCGTCGCGATTCCGAGACGTCCTTTCCAGTTGCGGGAAGGCCCGTGTGGTGAGTACTCCGCAAGATTCGGCTCTCGACTGGCGTCGATACTGGAGTTACCGACACAGGAGATACCGGTCTCGCCGGAGGTGGGGGAGCTGGAGCAACGGGCTCCGACGTCGTGGGTATTGCAGGTACAGGCATCCTATCAACGATTCTTGACAATGTGTCGATGGCATCTGCGACGAGCGGATCCTCTCGACATGGTGGCAAGTCTCCAACGTTCGTCGTTGACGACATGGGCACGCCAGAAGCGGAGGACTTTTTCCTAATACATTTAGAAAAAAAAAACAAGAATCAGTAACCATCTAAAATCATTTCAGGTAATAATTCGACACATTTTTCAAATCCTAGAGACATGTAAGATCAGAATACGCTGAAGGCATACCAATCGTTGAATCGAAGTAACTCACGGTAGAAAACCCAACGCCACAAAAGAAACATCTCGCAGATGATGTATTAATAAACAAGAGCACGGCTAAACTTCTTTGATGCCCGAGGTAAAATGCTTTCAGGCGAAACGCATGAAAGTGTCACTCGTGTATGCAGATGAATCCAAGTTTCGGCCTCGGGTTTGAAATTAATTTACCGTACCGTACCGAATAAAACTACTGTTGCAGCGGAGCACATTCTCACCCAAATCCAACGAAGTGTGGCAGTGCGTGCACATCCGGGGGATTTTCCGATGTGTTCGCATTCACGAAAATTGAACCGGATACACGATGTATTCTTCCTCGTGGCATACCCGCAGATTTCGGGGATTTTCCTGACGACAACGACACGTCGTCGATGCTACTTGAAACTTCCGGACTTTGAACCTCATACTTCGGCGTCGTTCGAGTCGTTGGTAATCTAATCACAAGATGAAACAATTTTTTAAAGGCGATTTCAATATAAGCGTTCGAGTTGAAAAATTATGAATTCCCTTCTTGATCTCAATGAGCTCACGATTACACCTGAACTGGACTTAACACAGGAGAATCAGGTACAGTTCTTTGAAATTTTCGATCACTAAATGACTAAGAAACGCTCCCCACCAAAATAGCCCAAAACAATAATGAACTAAAGGAAAAAAACAGGAAATGAGACTAACGGTGATTTCAGCCGAGGTCGGTCCACTCGGGGCTTTTTTTCCGGTCGCCAATCTTCTGATTTCTCTTCGAAGAGCGGCACGCGAACGGGTCCACTGGCATTTCGAGTGTCGTACAGGTTAGAATGAACGCTAATTTGATCGAGATCTTTGCACTTCTTCCGTTTCAGTTGAGCCTGCCGCAAAATGACCTGTAATAGAACCACGGAACCTCTTACCCTGGACAGCACAATTTGTAAGCTTCATCGCCAAACACCCGAACAAACGCGCTTACTTTTTGCGGCCGGGAGGAAGCCACCACCGCGTCCGTGGCCACCTAAAGCAAGAGGCAACCAGGAAAACTCGTATGCAACTAGTTTTTCTCTTTCCGGCGAACGATCGGTGCAATACAAGGATATTGTAATAGAAACCTCTTTTAAATGTTCAGCAGCAATGGAAATACAGTATCAGAACAAACACATTGCTTTGAAGTGATCATCCCGAATTCTGGCGATTATTATGAAGCATATTATATTTCAAGCAATATCTTTCAAAAAACAAAAAGAATAAACTGGCTTTTCAATCCGACCCACAAATGTTCACGTTTACTTTCGCGTGTATACAACATTTGTCCTCAGGTCGACCACAAAATTTTAACCATCCAAGACTTCACGCATAGTGTTTCGCCCCAAGAGGGCTCAAAGTGGGCCACGGAAAGGTTCAAGTACCCTCGGTATTTTCACCGGATTTCATCCAATATTGAATTAAAATACACGAAGAACCGACACCATTCCAGCTACAATATTAGCAAAATGAGCATACCTCATTTTTAGGAGGTCCTGGCCAATCAAGCATCACTGTTACGGCCGAAATATTATCAGCACGCATATTAAACTTTTGCCACCTGTCCAGCGCCAAATCCACCAACTTTTTGGACGGGTTAATCCATGGACGTACAGCCTAAGAAAAAAATAAAAGAAAAAAGATGGATTACACCACGAGTCACACCATAAAAACATCTGGAAAAATACAGCAGCAAAGGGAGAGATACAGTAGTTTCATCGTGGGAATTGTAACAAGGGTAAAATTGCCAATCGAACGCAATCATTGACTTGGCCGAACCAAAAGTCAAATCAGATGCTTCAAAGAATTCTCGCACTACGCTTTTCGCCAATCAAAACGCCCATTTCCGCCTGCATCGGAGTTCACTTACACTGGGATTTGATGCGCGCGTGATAATCTGAGCTTCATTGTGAATTTCCGTTTCCTGAGCTGAGTTTACAGCGTCAACTGGACTGACCATGTTCCAGAGTCCATCAGTGCCAAAAATTAAGACGCGGTGCTTGGTCAAATCGATTGGAATGACAAACACGTCAGGTTCCGGCGATACGACGAACTCGTCGGTTTCTGCATTGTAACTCCACAAATCGCCTGGAAAAAAATGCATATGGAACAGCCCTTCGATGGTAGAAATGTTTCAATCTGCTCGCTTACCGAGCGATCGAGCGACAGCGAGGAACGGAATCTCGTCGATTTTTGTTGACCTGGTGACCGGGCCTTTGTGGCCGATTTTCGGTCGGTTCCACACAACCCTCATCACGCCGGACTTGTACTTTACTTTACCACCACACTGCTCGATTCTCTTCTGCTCCTCCGGAATCGTTGGTTTGTGGTCCTCCGTGAGAGCTTGGGCCTGCCACCGGCCAGCAAAAGCAGCTTCCGGGTCGTCCGGGGTTTGTCCCAGTACAATGCCGGAATCGCCCACGTGGCCCACGTAGATTTTCTTCCTCCGGACGAATGCTATGCTGGCCGTGGTTCCAGAGGTGCTGGGAAGGCCCGATGCAGTTTTAGGCCAATTCGCTTAAAAGAAATGAAAAGTCGGTTAGATTCTGAACGCGACCAAACTGTGTCAGAAATAGACAAAAGGTAGCATGTTGATAGAATCCCAATGCGCAGCGACGTTCAGAAACTACTTTTCGCCGCCATCATTCAATTCGGCAAAAATCCCATGCTTTTCTCGACCAGTTCAATAAATTCATTCTAAAACTTAACAATGCCACCATAAGATCATTGTCTTAGAATTGTGCTCATCTGGAGAATTCGCCAAGGGGAAAACTGTGTCTTCCCCTTATCGTTTCATAAAAAGGAAATAACTTACGAAGCTCTCGCCACATTCCATGGTGAGTGGTAATGAAACCCTCTTTGATGGCTTTCAACACCAACTGATCATCGGTAGACCAAAAATTCCGCTGATTCACGATATTGTCCATCAGGTGTTTCTTGGCAAAAGCTGCAGCTTCCGCCCCTCCGTGACCATCAAATATGCCGATAAAGGCATATTCCAAATCTTTGTCGTCTTCCGTCTGCTGATACGCGACGCAAAATACATCTTCCATGTACTTTCGACCACCCTGACAACAGTGGCCAGTGACGCGCAAATTTACGCCGATCGACGTAGACATGGTTACCAGGGCACTGAATGGCACTGGCGCAGCGGAACAAATACGAGTTAATACATCCTTCTGTGTCCAAACCGACTGAAAACAATCCTGGAAAGAAAAGCGAACAGTTTTGAAATACTGTACTGTATAATGTTACTGCTTAATATTAGAAGTGAAAAACAAAACAGTTTCGCACACAATTGCATAATCACGTGCCACCGCCGGTTCATGCGGAGTTTCTCAGGGAAATCAGCTGACGCAGACGAAATACACTCGACACGAATTCACGTTGAAATTCGCATCATGATGGTTCTGTCAATGATACCAACGAATGATGATTCAGAGGCGGTCAGTTAGACTATTGGACAGGGCTCTGGGGGAGGAGATAGTTTTTCAGCGAAGCCATGCCATGAACATCACAAAACCATTCTACCTTCTCATCGAGCATCATTTGGGCGGCTTCCGGAGATTTTTTTGCAAGTGTGAGCAAGAAATTTTCAAAAATTAAAGCAATATGAGGCAAAACCGGAAGGGACTTGATCAAAGATTTCACGATTTCTGCAGGCCAGTCGACTAGCATTACGAACTCTGCAATTGCCTTATTGGACTCGATCAACCTGGTGATGCAATCCATACCAATGAACCACAAATCTTTGACTTCGTTCCACATGGGCTTGTAGGAAAATGAGACGTCAAAATGTTGCCCATCCTCACTCTCTTCAATATTGAACGCATCCCACAAAAACCGAACAGTTGCAGACAGAGACCTCGAGCCAGCCCCAGCAATCGCTTCCTCGCACTCTGGGAAAATTCTGGTCAACATGAGACCACACACCACAAGGTGTGCGACAAGCGGCAAACACACTCGATCATTCCCCAGCTCCAGCAAAGTATCGAAGACGGGACGCCAATACTGAGAGTAGCCTCTTCCACTTCGTCTAGCAGCATCACGTTCACCAACTAAAATGTTCAGTAACAAACCCAGCATCAATTTCAGTGTATTGACATCCGTCTTGTTGATGCAACACCCGGGAATTTTCGAGTTCGTCAGCACCCTCTTGCGAACTTCCTCAAAGTTCGAGAACATGCCCACAGGCACATCTTCTGACACGAGGATCTTCCTCGTATTTTCCTCGCCGGAAAATTCCAAGAAAACGGGTAGGAGAATGTTCCACAAGGTGTCATCGCAGTTATTCCCAGGCTTCGTCACAAACTTACAAATTCCAGGGAGGACTTTACAGGCATCGCTTCCAAACGCAGTCGGATCTTCCATCATTCTCGCAGATAACAAACGTATCATAGCCATAAAAATATCCCGTTCCTCTTCGTCCAAAATCAGTTCTCCATCTAGAAATCGCAGATCGTACAACTGCACGAAGTAGACCATCACTACTTCCGTTCCTTCAGAGGCAGAGGCATAAATCTCGGTTTTATCCTCCTCCGGGATATTTTGCAGATCCCCAGAAAAGATTGCCATCATGACGTTTTCCAGGATGGTCAAGCACGAGCCCAAGAGATTTTTTTCCAAAATAATTGAATCCAAAGGGATGTCTTCAAGCAATAAACGCAGTTCCACAACGGTTAAGCGCACCAGTAACACAATGAAACAATCGCGAGATGAGAGTTGGGAGTTCGTAGTGTACAACCACGATGATGGGTGGATGGTAATTGTTACGGTGGCAGAGAGATGCAAAGCTGCATCTCGCAACTCTTTGTCAATACGACTACCTAATATATCAGCCAAACCTCTCTGTAAACTTCCCAACCAAGAAGCATCTTTCAAAGGAAGCATTTCATTCGGAGCGGCCAGCAAAAGTTGCGTCAAATTCCGACACGCCATGGCTTTTTCTTTTGTCCGCCTTTTCTCAAAATCCGTGCTGAGGCGATCCACAAGCGTCAGATACATCAAGAAACTGCTACGCCATGTTTCGCATCCTTTACATCGCACCATCTGCAGTAATACTTGAAGCGCTTGTTCATGATTGAAGCGTTCCTCTGCTATGATATTCACGAGCTTTTCCATCGCACCGTTTTCAATTAGCACTTCCGAACCGTTGGGATTTGAAGCGAATGATATGAGACATTCATAAGCGTCTTGGATGACTGTAAGCTCACTGTTCCGCTCAACCAGCGCTCCTTCTACCAAAATTTGGAGCAGGTGCGGAATTGCAGGAAGCAGAAGTCTGTCCGCGACGAGAACTTCATCGGAGGCCAAACAACACATTATCGTCACAGCAATACTCTGATACGCCCGACGCGAACATCCCATGGGAGCTTCGTCGGTTTTCAACAGACGCAGTAAAAACTCGGGTCCTATTGCATCGAATATTCTTCGCCGAAGTTCCGGGGTAGCCGCACAAGCAGACCTGGAAAATTAATCCAAAAAATCTTTCATAAATTCGTTCAAGCCCGTATTCCTTCCGGTAACTCACTGATTCAAAAGCTTCGCTAGAATTAACATGTACGTGAGTTTCCTGGTATCGTCAGTCGTTGTCTGCAATTCATCTATAACAGCCAATAGCTTCCTCGTAGGCTGTTCGCTTGTTTCCGAAGGAGTTCGTTCCACCAGTCCTTCGTCACTTGCCAGATCGTCTTCCATGACGGCGGGACGAGTCGCTTCGTCACTCGTCTCTTCCTCCATTTAGATTGGACATGAACGCACGAGAAATTCACTCTGCTACACTCCCCTGAAGAATCGCCAATAGGAGAATCGCCCAAACGATCATTACTCAGCTGAATTGCGAGTCGTGGGACATCTCATCACACTATCAATGTTCACGACTTTCATAAAAATAACCACCAGGACACTTCACCCCAATTAAAAATGTATAGAATTTACTTCTCTCATTCCAACGTCTAGCATTTCCCCGTCCCCAATTACTTTCAAGATGCAGACTCCTTTGAATTACAACAGTCTAACGGATCCGAGAGTAAGCAGCACAGCAAAGCATGGTTGGAGCTGAAGGCGAGATTTTAGCGTTTCTTTGTTGATCACGGTTTATTCACATCTGACAATTACTTACGAATACGTTTCAGGATTATGATTTTCAAAAATTTTACGATGGACATATCAATTCATCAATCAGAAAGTCCGCAAATAAAGGTTCCCCGCTTCACTTTACCAAAAACAGGGATTCTGGAGATTCTCGACATCGGTATGGTTTCGAAAATCTACTGTACGCAGTACATTACTTTAGAGTGCTGGACTTCAAGTACAGAATGGTAGCGCCTTGCTCAGACTTTCAGAACCAGTCAAATTATATAACTTCTTCTTTATCATAGATGACACTATCTGCACTAATATTCGGAAACCACCAGCAAGGCCCTTCCCCAGCTTTTCGCCCCTTCTCCTCAAAGGAAAGTCAACAGAGCACTTCTTTCCCCAAAAACTGCAGTTATTGGAGGGATAATTTATTTATGAAATAAAACAGTGCAGTGCACTGCATGAACTGAGTTTATATCATTTCTTTCAATTAAAACTCCCTCAAGTCCACTTCCTTGAAGACAAAGATATGTACTGTATTTGTACAGGTGAACCTGGATAATTGGAACCTCCCCAAGTCAAATAATACAGTACCCCCTGAGTGAAATTTTTTTCAGGTCCCATTTGAATCCCCTTAGAACCAATTAGATTAAAAACCTCCTCAAGTTGAAAGCTTTTCCCCTCAAACCTCTATAAGTCAAATTTTCTGTGGCCTGTTGACCATTATTTTCTTGAAAGAAGAAAAAACACATACATTTACATGTTTTAAAAGAAGTGAAAAACTTAATTGGGCAAATGAACCCCTGCCTTCAAGTTCAGCAGCCTTTCAACTCATTTAAGAGGCCATTTAAACCCCAGAATATTACCATTTACATTTTTTCAAGTTTTCCAGAAAAAAGGGCTTTGTATTGTAGTTCCAACCTATAAAAGTCAAAACCTCCCTAGGGCAACTTTTTTTCAATTCCCTTTAAATTCAACTTGAAGAAGTTTGACTGTATATTTCAACAAAATGTCCTCCATTGCGCTCCCTGGGAGTTCTTGTAAAAAGATTATATCATACTGGGATATCAAATACTGTAGTTTCAAAAATTATGGATTGAAAATTACTTGTGTCAATAGCAACATATATACTATTCATACTGCTACAGATTTTAATTGAAGATGACAACATCTGTAACATCATATTACACACACATATTACATTTGCTTTACTCCAAAAATCAACATTGAAAAGACTCTGCCACGAAAAATGCTCAAAATCGAGCGAATCTGCAGTACTGCAGGCGGATGATGAACAGCCTTAGTTCTGGATAATTATTAGCATTTCAGACATTTTCCATTGACATCTACAGCAATGACAAAATAACGTTTTCAACTGCTTCTTATATTTCAGAAAATATTATTGCATTCGTTCCAAAAATTAGATCAAGGTTCGACATGAAGATGCGGAACACCAATGACATTCCCCATAAACGGAAATTTGAGTTATTCTAGTTCATTCCATTTCAATCATTCCAAAAACGAAAATGGCACTCATTTTCGTCGCGTTTGAAGAATGCAACTGCCAACAATTGATCAGGCGCATTATTACAGAAGGTTCTATGGAATGTTGGGTTGCATTGCTTCGTTGCAATTGTACAATAAAGAGTATGATCACGAGTGTGCTTGTGACACGGCATGCCTCACTCACATAAATTGCTGCGCTAGAATATTAAAAAATCTGACCAGAAGCAGAATTCTGGCCCCATCCCCTTTTTTTCAACCACGAAGTGGTACGCATGACTAGCACTATGAAGGCAGAATATTAGCGCCCGGAAAAATATAGGTCGATTCATGATTTATTTCTCCATGTTCAGTTTGGATGACGCAAAACTTGTCTATCTGCTGGTGATGATGGTATCTTGAAATTCACATCGAAGGATATCTAACGAGTAAGTGCATTTAAAAAATTACCGAAAATTATGCCTCTGATCCTCCAGACTACAAAAGGACATTACAGGATACGTATTTTATCAAAGTAATCAAAAAATATTCAAGAACACGAACAGTTATATTTTCCAAGAACTGCCAAAAATTATTCACATATGAAGTTAAGCATCAACGGTTCATAACACGGAGTTTCAATCGCCCGAGAATTATTTCCTCCGTCCCTCGTAAATACAATACTCGAAGCACGACAAAACTAACATTTGCGCATCTTCCTTCTATGCCATCTATAGCGAGACATAGAGCGGGGCTGTTTTTCCTCCTGCTTTGATTCCGCAATGATCTCCGCGTGCTTCTCTTCCCAATGTCGCTGAAATTCGTACCAATTGGCGAAAAATTCTTCCAAATGCCCGCAGATGCGACACGACGATGGAAAGAGGCTGCACCATTCCTTGGCGTCCCAGTTCACGTATCTATCTTGAAACGCAACTCGGCAAGTTTCCATGTGATGGATGTTAAAATGGCACTGCAAGTCCTCCTTGGTTTCGTAGTGTTTCTCGGAGACGCAAACCGGACAACGCATGGCTCCTGGGTTACAATGCGTTTCGAAGTGTTTCCAAGACATTTTCGATCTACGACAGATCGCACAAGTCCGGTGAACATCGTACCACATGGCATTTGTGCGCCCGACACCTCGGATTCCGATTGCTTCGCTGGAAGATGCTGTGCAAGCGACATCTGCCAGACATTCTCGACACGTTTCCGAAGCAAAATTTCGGTCGGGGGTTCGAAGTGGAGTACGTCTTCTGCTCGGCCGCGCTTCATTTTGACTTTTGTCATGGGGCTCATCAGGTTTGTCAATTGGCACTTGGTTTGCTTCTTGACGGTTCACATTACCAACAGCATCACTCAATTCAGCAACTGCGTTACTAGAGGAATCATCACTCTCGAGATCCATAGGGATTCCAGAATCTTGAGAACTGCTTTCTTCCGAAGTAGGCTCGCTCTTCGTCGTTCTTTCAGGAGTGTCATCTTCAATCGTGAATGTTTCTACAACTAGATTTTTGAAACTACTGTACTCATAACACCGAGGAAAACTGTGACTGGGTTCCATTCACGTTACCTTTTCGTTCCTCCTTGAGAACTATGACATCATCATCCTGGTGCAACGTATTCTTCCGAAAAGCCGCGCACAGTTCGATGTGCCCTTCGAGTGATCCACTAACGCTGGCAAATCCTAATCCGCATACACCGCATTTCACTCGGTGCTTCAAGCGATGCTTCTCTTCGACGTGATGGCTCAAATTCAGTGGGTTCAGGAAGTTTTTCTCGCAAACAGGACAAACGAAACCATTCCTACTTCCACTATAACGATCACTCGGCGAGAAAGGACACAACTCCGCCATCTCTCCGATATACGGTCTGGAAAAGTCCTCTAATATTAAACTGCTCAATTGGAAACCAAAGGATGTTCTTCAATGTGAACTTCGTTAACCACCCCGTTCATTGACAGCCTCCGCATTATGTCAACACACCGGAGCACTATTGCGACTTAGTAGAAAAATCAGGTGGAGACGGAATGCATGAGCCACGTAGATTAGAACGATTAAAAAAATGTCCCGCTCAGTATTGCAACTCGGGGACTCGGCTGTTCACAACACTGAAATGTTGTCAATTCTGCCATCTCACTGTCTTCTATTAGTCTACCTCACGTTCGCGAAGGACCGGCGCTTCGTTTTTTCAATTCAACGAATGCACCGCGTTTCCGTTTCCAATTCCAATCTAATAAGCTGCGGAAGTCCGCGGCTGACTTTGGTAAGGTGTAGCAGGGACATCTATAGGAAACATGAGAAGTTCGCAGTGCCTGCCAGAAGAGGGCCCTCTTTACGCTCAGTGACGCATGATCAGCTTGCTCATCACGTCGGAATACAGTAGTACTACTGCAGCCCATATTACATGCCAATATTTTGTTGTACCGTGGGGTTAAAAAAAAGCAAACTATTCCTGAATGAAGAACCCAAATTAAAGACATCAAGCTGAAAGAATCATATTGCGTAAGAAGTCAGCTGTTTGTGTTTCTTGCGTTTGCGACTCCGAGAAAATCAGATATGTTTTAAAGTTTGGCGGAAGTATTTCTCAGTCTGGAACTCGAAACCAGCAACTGCTGGAATATTATAAACAAACAAAATATGTACTGTAACACCTGCACACACGTTTGATCCGTTTCATGTGGGCATATGTGATTAAGACAAAAAGCGATTGAGGCAAAAGGCTTTTTCACCCTAGTTTAACAACGTTGAATGCTTCGAATGCCAAAAAATCGGAAAACATTTTCCACTAACCAGCAGTTTTGACAGATTGTGCTTCCTGAACTTTATAAATTCTGAAGTACGTTTTGTTTAGTTTGAAAGAATTATCGGTACCAAGCGTTTGCGGTCAAAGAAATGAATGCATCGTAATGCTTATTTGAGGTACATGGTGCAGCCAAAGAACAACATCATGAAAATTCGGATGCTGTCATCCAGATGTTTTCAAGTGTTGCATGGCATATTCTGAATACTTTCCAGACCGTGATTCATAGCTATTTCGCTATTTTTGCATGGTAATGCATTTGAAAATTAATGGGAACTGTGCCAGTCAGTAACCATTGCCAAAACCTCGTTAGTCGTCACTTTTGTTGTCTGAGTGTCTCCAAATTGAAGAAAGGTGTGAGGACATATTTCTGCTTACCTATTGACTTAAATTCTAAACCAGTGTTCCCAATCATTTTGAGACAGTGGACCAGTGAATTTCTGTAACCTTTTTTGCAGACTGGCAAGTTTCTGAAAAATATTCTGCAGACTGTTGAAGTTTCATAAAATTGGTCCAGCTTCAAAAAAGTTTATTTCAGACTTTATGGCATGTGTTTAAAAAGGTTAAAATCTTAGAATTGTGGAGGACAATCTGGATGGAAACACATCTATTGAATTTAAAATCACTTGAATCAGCTCAGAATAACAATACAGTGGTACCTCGTAGTACGAACGCCTCATAAAACGAACGTTCCGCAGAACGAACGTTTTTTTTGGTGAAAATCCATTTTTTTTACCCTCGTACTACGAACAAAATTCGTAGTACGAACGTTTTTTTTTCCCCACAAAAATCTGAAAAATTTGGAAATTTGAAATTTTTAAAAATATTTATTTAAAGGCTATTAAATAATGAAAAAATCATAAAAAATCATACAACATAATAACATTCAATTGAGAAGACATTCATGTTATTTAACATTGAACAAAATTTTTAAAATTAGCAATCACAAAAATTTATTTGAAAAATTTCAAATGAATACTGTACCACTTTTTGAGGACAATTTCCTGTTTCATATTGAAATTCATTAAAGCACTGCATCCAAGGGGGTTCTGCTAAAAAAAAA